CAGCACATGGTATATTAGGCCCCTATTTCATTGAGGATGAGGAAGGCAATGCTCTTACCGTCACCCAAGAACGCTACAGGGACATGGTGATCGGACCATTTCTTCAGGATTTGAGAAGGTTCTGTCGTGCAAGAGGCCTTCACATGAATAGACAGTGGTATCAGCGGGACGTCTTTTCATTACAGTACTGTATGTTTTGGCGCATACTGTACAAGCTATTTACACGACGTACATAGACTGAACACATTTCGAGGATCTAGTGTCCATCTGCCTGTTTGTCAGGCCATTCACATGTGCAACTAGAGAACCTCTGGTCGGCTTTCGGTTAATTCTGATGGGCTACTGGGGGTTGTAGGACCATTTAAAGTTTCATAAATATCAACATTATGGAAGTACACCGTCATAAGGAATAATGTTACCGAATTCGTTAAAGCTATTCGTAACAGCCAGGATCATCTGGACTTTCTAGGTGCAAAGAACACATACGCGAACTCCTGTGTATTCCGAGTTACGCCTTTTCAGTCTTCTCATTCAAATAAGACTGTATTAGATAAATTTAGATATTGTATAATCTATTAACATACGTGGTAGTTATTAAGTTCGTGGAATGTGGTTTTATCGCATCATATTAGAAGGTATTCACATACACTAACGCAGATCCATATCGGCCCTCAAAATAGTTGCCGTTGGCCGCTATGCAATTCTGCCAACGTTGATATAGCTGTCGAAAACACTGCTGAAACATATTGGCACTAAATTCCCGTACGACGCTTTGCGGCAATTCCACGAACTTACTGACTGTGGTAGTATAACTGGACTTAAGGAAGGAACATGCCAATTGCTGATAAGAAATGCAACAAGCAAACAGCAGAGGGTTGGTAACAGGTGACAAAATTAAAAAGGGAAGCAATGGGTACGATGGGGAACACGGGAGGAAAAACAGAAAACGACAAATATGTGCTATAAAATGTCAAATGTAGTAGCATTACAGGGTCGGGGTGCGAAATAAGAAAGGAACACAGCGAAACGATTGGGTCACCCCAAGTCATTAACCTCACCAGATACGTCCAAATACATGAGGTCATTGGATAACAAAGCAACAGGTCCGTCCCGCAAGATTGTCAATAATCTGGAACAAAGCGAGACTAGAATTCAGCTCCTTGGCCTGGGAATGTGGGTTCACAAAGAGTCACTAGGGTGAGCGGCCTCCGTAGTCTAGAGGTAACGTTCCCACCTCATGACTCGTAGTACGCGGGTTCAAATACCCGGCGGAGGTCGTCGAATTTTTAAGGGCGGAAAAATTCAGGGAACAAGTCCTCCGGGAGGGACTTTAAGCCGTGGGTCCCGTGTCGTAGCTTTACGGCACGTAAAAGAACCTCATATCTGACCCAAAATAACGGACGTTTCCCGCCCAACAGTAGTCTCTAATATCTCTGGTAGATGGGGGAAGCATTATAGATACCTCTCAGCTAGTAGAGCCGGTCTCGCTGGCTGGGTGGGACTGATGGTAAGCACCAGTACTGGTAGGATATAGAGACTGGTAGAAATCATAGAGGGAAGCACAATGGACCAATACAGGTCTCAGTACATGGGGAAACCCACCCTCTCCAATAACTAACTAACTAACTAACTAAGAGTCACTAGGTTAAGCGTTTATTAGCACTGCCATTCCGGAAAGTTACTGAAAAATCGCAGTAGCTGGCTTAGCCTCCCTACTGCATACAAAATAGGCATCCCTTACTTTGTCTACATTAGATTATTTTCTTCGGCTAACACGTCTGCTCCGAGCAGGAATTCAGAAACAAATACTATTTTGGGCATTCGGCAGAACTCCATACAAAACAAACAAAAACAAACTCCGTGATTTTAGTCCGCAAGCGAACTATTCTAGTGGTCAGCGTTCCTAGCTACAGATCCAAAGGTCCGGGTTCGATTCTCGGCACTACCAGATTTTTTCTGAGAAGTAGTGGGTCTGGAATGGGGTCCATTCAGCCTCGTGATGATTATTGAGGAGCTATTTCAAGGAAATGGCGGCTCTGGTCTAGAAAACCAAAATTAACGGCCGTGGGGAATTTGTTGCGCTGACCACACGACACCCTCTATCAGCAAAACTTGGCACTAAACTTCGCCGACAAGCGGCGGTCGCTCGGTCGGTATAGAACTCCATACAACAGTAACTATTTTATGATCCCTGTTTAAAAGCTGCCTGGAATCACAACTCTGAATTTTTCCCTAAAGAAGACCACCAGCAGGCCAAAGAATGATTAGTCAAACCTGCTTTTCTGCTCATACAATGATGAAATTCCTTCTGGGTCTGCACCTGAAGTGTTTATTTGGCGCTGTGTCAACTGTATGAGTAACGAGAGGTCGATTACTAACAGCCGGACAGAGCGTTGGAAGCAGCGCTCGTGTCTAAAGGCAGTCAAGGCGCAATCCTGCATTTGCTTGGTGGGACTAAGAAAACCTCAGCCAAGATAACAATTTTCGACAACATGATGCGGGGAAGGAAACCACCAAACGGAGAAGTTCGGTGACGTGTTTTAGCATCTTTATTTTCTCTAAGCCAACATAAATTCGTGTATTCCGACTCCCGAAGCAGTTTTATACGGTCTTTGCAACACGGGAATAAAATCAACGCATGAGAAGTTAAATCAGTCCATTCCTGCTTCACACTTAACTGAAATCGATCTCTGTATTATTAATCCGAGACAACATCTCATAAGGACCGTTCATTTGAAAATTTTTCTATATGGTGGCCGGTCACATTTGCCCAGCGGTCTAAGGCATGAATTGTCTTCGCTCGGAAGCCGGGATCGTGTGTTCCGACTCCCACACAAGGCATGGATGTTTGATGTGTGAATGCGTTTATTCTGTGTTTGTGTTGTCCTGTGCTTAGGTAGATGCCTTGCGACGAGATGATCACCCGCCCAAGGAGTCCTACCGTACAGCTATACCTCCACTCCCCCATATGTCCTTAAATACGCACTGGGAAAACTTTACCTTTATTTTTCCTCAGACGAACTGGGAACTCTTTGAATATCGAGCCTGTCTATGGTCACCGTTAGATGAAACACCCGAAACGTCGTCAATGTTAAATAAAGCTTATACAATGGACCGTGTCTACCACATTTGCGGTACAATATGCGATTGGCTATCTGCGTTCCGAATTATTCATAATTAAACAGTTATTACAGCTCACAGATTATGAACGTGGCTATACCAACTGTAGATTTTGTGGGTTATTTTACGACTCTGTCAATACCTAGACCAGCCATGTCAAACTTGCGGCCCCCATAGCCACAAAGTGCGGCCCCTCAACTTTTGGAGCTAACTGATATTAAAATCAATATTAAAATTTTAGTAGAAATATTTTTTGTAAAGACAATTTCCCAACAGACCAGAAGACAAGAAGTCTCACGCAGACATAAATTAGCAGGCTGCAGGAAAAGTGATTCTGAGAATTGCAGAAGGGTTTGTCCAACTAACGGTTTGAAAGTTCGTGAAGGACAAACTATTGTATTTCAGAAGGTTAATGCACTGAAATCCGCACAGCCTCACCACCCCAAGTATTTTCAAGAATCCCTTTTGGAGGCATACTAAGAATGCAAAGAG